GGGTATACGAGGTATAAGGGGTGTTGGGGGAGGTAATGAGGGTGTTGGGGGCGGTTTGTATGGTGGTATTGGGAGCGGGTATGGGGGTGTTGGTGGGGTTATTAGGGGTTCTGGACCTTTTTGCGGGGGGGTATGGGGTATAGGAGGTATAAGGGGTGTTGGGGGAGGTAATGAGGGTGTTGGGGGAGGTAATGAGGGTGTTGGGGGCGGTTTGTATGGTAGTATTGGGAGCGGGTATGGGGGTGTTGGTGGGGTTATTAGGGGTTCTGGACCTTTTTCTTTTTTTGCGGGGTGCTGACGAACCCCGACCGGTGACCAGTCGGCTGGCCGGCCGCCGACCGTTGGGGTATGCAACTCTGAACCTGGAAGCCACTTTGGGCTGAATGATTGCAGCAAAAGTATAGGCAATGACTACTTTCGGAGTTCCTTCAGTTTGTCTGGAGACAGTGGTATTCCATATCCAGACCTGTGAAGCCCGGCCATACGGCATTGAATTGTCCCCAAGACACGATATTTGCAATGTGCACAAAAATGCTATGCACAAATCGAGAAATGCTTTCAATTAATTAAAGAAAGGAAAAAGAGAAACGAAGGGTGTGCACATCAAGAGTTGCTGTTGGTTGCGTCACCAAGGTTTGGCTCTCGACTCTCTGCTTCTGCAGTGCTCTACACTTATGATTCTTATCTGCCAAGGCTTGCTTGCGTGGCTGTGCGCAGGCCATTGGATCACACATCCAACGGGTTCATAGTGAAAGATTATAACCGTTGATGTCTAGAACAGAACGTTGGAGAATGTGTTCTCTTGAGCACTGTGGTGTGAACACCCCAACCAAAATTGAGCTCCGATGTCATCTGTGTGCAAACTATGGCTTTCACTGGGCGGGTGAGTTTTGATTGGCAGGGGCTCCTAAGGATAGTGCAACATCCCTAAGAAAAAGAAACAAAAATCAACACTCATTGCTGAACCTAACCGCAGGTCAGGCAATATACGTAGTTGAAAAGAAAGGAAGCGGCAATGCTGCACTGGCCTCCAATGGACCTCGGGAAAAGGGGCAGTGCATGGTGGGAAAAGAAAAGAAAAGGAAATGAGAGAGGCAGTACTCTCTTGACTGAATCTAACTGCAAGTCAGGTGAGATACATGTGGGAAAGAACTGGAAGAAAGCGCGGTACCACATGTGGGAAGGAAATGAAAGGAAGCTGTGCCTGCTGTACATCATTGGAAGTTTGGATTCCTCTTTTTGAAATATGTTTGGAGAAAAAAGAATCGATTGTGGAGCCTAAAGTTCTGCTTGCAACTCAACCCTTGTGGCTGAATGGTATGATGGTGGCCTGTCTGCTCCTTCTCAAATGCGTTGATGTATTAGCTTTGGGCCCGGACCCATCGGATTATTGTTTTTGGGAAAAGGTCGAAATGAAATGAACGGTACACTGCCACACATAACTCTTAACGAACAACTCATCGAGCTACCGTCTTCCCCTGAACACAACGCACCCTCCTCTTGGCTGTACCGGACCGGAAATATAGCTTGCATATGTTCAATTTCAGGGTGCTTTATGTTTCGGGGAAGACGTTAGTTTCGGTTGTAATGGAATCATATGAATACGATAATGTCAGTGGCGGTCCCCTTCAGAAAAACAGTAATTGTAATTAATGGGATTCGCCAACTGGCCTAGCTCAGTTGGTACATCCCTCCCTGACCTGTGTTGAAATACAGACCTGAGTTCGAACTCCACTGGAAGAAAAGTAAAATACTGCAATTCGGATTTATCTAGGGACGGTCAGCTCGATGAAGATATCACAAGGCCGTTGCCCTTTTTAAAGAGGAAAAAAAAAAGAAGGGATTCCACCAAATCTACAAGTTCAGTTTTTCAGCTCAGCCCATGTGGCTGAATATTGTGCACAGTCAATACAGTTAGTAATCAGCGGCATTGATGGGAAAGAACCTGACTAGCCTCAATGTATGTGCCATGGACAAGCCAGCTGTAAAGAGGCATGCATCGTGCGACCTGGAGGCAACAGAGGAAGAAATGACTCCTGTCTTGTATGCCCAGTTTTGAATGATCGTTGCTTTGTTTGATCTGGAGGCGAAGCCGACGCTTTTTGCTGCTGCACTGTGACGAGGCATGTCTTCGTCTTTGACAAACCAAGTGTTTGGTGCCGTTCACTGACATGTCGTTTGTTGTTCTTGTTGTTGTTTTTGTGTTGTTGTTGTTGTGTTGTGGTGCAATGTCAGATTGACAGAGAAAGGGAGGGAGAACAGATTGACCGTACTTTGTTGAAGAACATTCTTGATATTTTTGTTGAAATTGGTATGGGGAGTATGGATGCTTATGAAATGGACTTTGAAGCTGCAATGTTGCAAGACACAGCAGCGTATTATTCACGAAAGAGTGCAAAGTGGATTGAAGAAGACTCGTGCCCAGGGTACATGCTTAAGGTAATATGAGTTTGGTTTTGACATCACAGGTGCGGTGTGTCGTTTCAATTCTGAAACCACCACTCCATCCGGACCTGTTTTGACAAACCAAAAGTTGCATTTCCATGAGCCTAGAATCCGCAGTGTCACTGCATCCGCATTTCGGTGAGCCTAGAATCCGGTGTGTCGTTTCCATTCTGAAACCACCACTCCATCACAGCCACCATGTCCACTGGAGCACAGGGAAAAAAACAAGGTTCCTGCAGACACGGACACTAGGCCTATCTGGACACCAGACATCGGGAACCTGGATCTGTAAGGGACAAGAAGGGTCCCCCAAAAAATATTTTTATTTTGGTTTCTGATTATTTTTTTTTTTAATTATTTTTTATTTTTTTTCCCTTCCTCTGAATTCGGCTTTTGCAGATTCCGGACCGTTAACCAATGTTTCTTTTCCAACGTACCACACCGTCTGGACACTGGTGCGGGTTTTTCCTGCCGGTGGCCATCATAAGCCATGGGAACAACCTTGTGCATGGGAGCAGATAATATATAGAATGGTCGAGAACACACAACGATATCTTGTGAACCTAACGTTCAAGACGAGTGCATAGAGCAACGCTCCCACTTGGACTGTTGCATCGTAATGGCAATACAGCTGGACTATGGCTAGGCTTTTGAAGCTCCATCAAAGAACCGAAAACCGACATGGAAGCTGAAAAGTTATCTATTGTTCCATTGCAATCATCCTGCTGCTTCTAGAAGTGTTTGTCGTCAAACTGAGTGTCAGTTTTTAGGTGGGTAAATAAAAAAACGGTGTGCATTTGAGCTGTTACCTTTGGTTTCATCTCAGGGAAGTACTCGTTCGGCACGCGCTAATGGACATAAATGTCTGAAGAGGGTTATTATATATCATTTTTTGAGCCAGGATGTCTGAAAATGTGTATGCGTGGCACGACCCAGGCGACACAAACACGAAATGAACAGGTGGAAAATGTACAGGGCAGGGGCTGTTTCAGTTAAAGGGAATTCTCGTTGGTTTCTCTTCCTCCGTTCAGTTATATGCCAAAGAAGTTGGGCGATTGCTCAATGTATGCATCTCATCCTGGTGCTGGGGTCATGCTAATCTTCTTTGTATTATTGCAATTTTAACGGATTGCCTGAAGGGCGGACTGTTTCAGGTGTTGATTGGATGTGCATGTTTTTTTCAGTGATATTAGATAGTACTCAGGAAGGTATTGGAGTTGAATAGGTGGTACTGAGTGATGACACATGGGCTTGGCTGGGCGATGGCACCATTGACTCATTTCATTTCCCCTCTGTCAAATTTGTGACAGGCAGAGGACTGTTTGAAAAGAGAGAAGGAGAGAGTTGGGCATTATCTACATACCTCCAGTGAAGGCAAACTTTTGGAGGTGAGCGCTTCCTCTGCTCTCCCGCATTCCAATTTTGCAGTTACGTTTGAAGCCGGTTATGCCGGTTATGATCACAGTGGGTGTTTGTCCCTCGAATTGTGCGAGCTCTGGCTGCTGTCTAGGTCTGATCGTGTTTTTCTAGTATGTATGCACACAGGAGAGTCTGTACTGCAGATGGACACCTGATAACCTATTTGATGGCTCAAATCAGGGAAAGAGTCCTTCCCCGTACTGTGCAGACTGTGTCAGTGGTCTGTGGCTAGATGAACGTCAGATTCTGGCGACATTGTTTGGGTCTCTCTTTCATCTCTTCAGTTTCCTTGCTGAACTGCAGATGAATGCTCCCCTTTGTCAAAAGCTGTTACCCCCTAACATATTTGCATTCAAAAGGGTTCTGGCGTTGAGGGGTTGCTACCCACCTGGCGCATCGAGAAGATCGTACATTCTACCTCGATAGATTTTGCGGAGCTGGGTATGTCGGAGGTTGATTGGCTTTCCAATCATTCCTATAGTGTTGACAAGGGGCTCACCAGCCACACCCAGTAGGTTTCCGGGGGTCGAGGGAAATGGATTTGTAGAAGGAAACCCATGCTGTCAAATCCTTAGACCACCGCCGGAGTACTGATCAGATTGTCATTTCTGGTGCCCTTATGGGGTAGGCAGGTATTATGGAACACCTGGAAGTCAAAAGATAAAGGTAAAGGAATGTCGTTGTTACGCCAATGTAAATTTATTGAGCTGCAAATCCACATCTATCCATAGTACCAAAGCGGGTGGGCTGCTGTCGCCTTGCTGCACTCTGAGTTTGCCCTTTGCCATTCGTTTCCAGCCCTGGGATCTTGATTTGGGCAGTCCGAGGTAGGGCCTTTAATGCTCAGTGTGTATGTTTTTTTTTTTTTTTTCCTGGGTTGAACCTCTGTCGTCCGATGTGTGTACCGGCGTCTCAGACAAGAAACTGACAGTTGATCCTCGGTGTGCCAAAAGGAATTGCATTGTGTGTGTCATGTGGCCATAAACAATTGCGGCACAATGGGGCATCAGAATTCTTAGGCTACAAGACCTCTCGGCCCCTCCTGCCCTGCACACTTCGCCCCCAACAGAAAGAAGCTGCTCACAAAACGGTATGCGATGGCCGGGCGCAGAACTTACCTCGCATGGCCCCAGAAACATTTTGTGGTGACCGCCAGGAACTGTTGATGGATAGAGCTGAGTTTGAATCCTGCTGGGATGAACTGAACTATGGGGGGCGGTTAGGTAGATGATGATATCTCAATGGCCTGAACATTGTCGGAATGTTTTTGCATCACCGGCACGTTACGCGGGAACCTTAAGAAAAAAGCATTCCGTGGCCACTAGGACATTTCATGTGTGTGTGTGTTTGTGTGTGTGTGTGTGTGTGTGTGTGTGTGTGTGTGTGTAGCATATCAGAAAGTGAAATGCACTGAAAGCCTAGGATCTAGCAATGACGAAAGTGGCAACAACCAGCAGCATAGGTGCAACATTCACAAGGTGTCAATGTGCGCGACGCAAAGAGTGRAACAACGGGAAATCAAYAACAACACATTCGTATCATCATCATCATAGGCTGGGAAGCAGCGCAGCGGAAGATCTAGTATCAAAGGACACGTGGACAACAACATGAAAGGGAGAAACTTCGGAAGGGCAAGACACCAGAAAGATTGCCCTTCCGCTCACACACATGGGGAGAGATCCATAGACATGCGAGAGAAAAGGGGGAGGGACATAGAGGTAGCCAAGTCCAACCCAAGTCTGATCTCCGAATGTCACACACAGTTCAATCCCAATGTAGAGTGTAAGTCCGATCTGAATGTCGTGTCCAATAAGGCAGAAGGCCGCGTCCAAACAATGTCTGCAGTTACCTCTATCTCTACTCTGATAAAGAAGAAGAAGAAGAAGAAGAAGAAGAAGAAGAAGAAGAAGAAGAAGAACTTCGGAGGAGTAGGAGGAGAAGAGGAGAGGAGAAGAAGAAGAGGAAGAAGAAGAAGAAGAAGAAGAAGAAAGCTGGGTGCTTTCTGCACTTACCTGGCGATGGCTGAACTTGCCGGTACCGCGGAGCCAGCTATGGCGCTGGGCAGGTAAGTCCTCTTCTCTCTCTCTCTCTCTCTCTCTCTCTAACTCCACTACCSTCCTCGGCGCTGGACTCCTCCAGCGCTGTGCCTCATGGTCGATGAGCAGCGCAGCTGCAGTCTCGAAATGGCGCAGCAGGGAGTCTCCAAAATAGCGCAKCAGCCAAGTTCCTGAACCAGCATAACGCTGGATTTCTCCTGGTACCTTCTGTGTCCGAACTGGGCAATGGCCCAGCTTAAGTAGTGCTGGGCCAGGACTGAAAACCCACGGCCTGCGTTCTGGACCGTGCAGATCAAAACTCCGATCCACGGTCCAGATCGCAGGCTTCGAAAACTGGTTCAGTCCTTGTCCTAAAACGGCCTGCCTGGGTCCCTACCGGACGTCCAGGCCCTGTCCAGGATTAATCTTCCTGGTACCTGGCTTCAAACCGGTCCTGTGCGGACGTACCCGGCCTCAACGTCGGCCTGGGTTCGAACAGGTCAAAATCTGTTCGAAAACAAAAGAAAAGGTCCAAACGTTTTTAGGAGCTCAGCCTCTGGGCCTGAATCTGGCCCTGGCCCTAGAAGCGTGTACCTGGCCACAAAACGGACAACAGTACACCCGTTAGAAAAACAGCAGCAAATAAATAAAATAAAGACTATAGAAATAATCTAAAGCTGGTGTTTTTCTGATGCAGGCCCAAGTAAAAATGCCATAGGGCCTTCAGGTTGCGGTTAAATAAAATAAAGACTATAAAAATAATATAAAGCTGGTGTTTTTCTGATGCAGGCCCAAGTAAAAATGCCATAGGGCCTTCAGGTTGCGGTGACGCGACCTGGGGGCCCTATTCCAACCTCGGGTCCCGTGAGGGGCCCGTGTGTAGGCTTTCAGCATGTAACAGTGTGTGTGTGTGTGAGAGAGAGAGAGAGAGGACAATGGTGGGAATTGAGTTCTATGTTATGAACATGATTGTCCGTTGAAATTTTATCAACGGTCACTCACAGGAACTCCCATACACGCCCATACATGCACAGAAGGAAAGGGAGAGGTAGTGGAGTGTGACACCGCCCAACCAAAGGAACACAGCGGAAGACTCAGAGGAGCGAAGTTACAGAATACACAACACAGTGAATTCTCTCCACACAAGTCCCAACAATCATTCATAGAAGACAACCGAGAGATCACAGCCAGAAATCAATGAAGAGATGACAACTCGAACACAATATTACAACTGTTTATTAACTCAGAGCATCGTTTTTACTGAATAACCTCAGATCCCTGTTGTGCTACCCTCAGAGGGATAGCGCCTCAACCCCCCACACACCAAGCAGCTAAAAATAGCACCAGAACCCCAGGTAACACCCAGCGCCACCCTGACATCCAACTCAGTGGCCTGCGCCAAGATTAAATAGGCTCCCAGAGCCAATCACCACCCAGATGATGAAGAAGAAGCTCAGCGCCAACAGTCCCTGATGAAGATGAAGTCCAGACGATGATATCCTCTGAGAAGATGCAGCTATGGCTGCATCGCCACTGGGACCCTACTCCTGAGGAGGGTCAGCAGTGCACCACGTGCTCCAACGCATCAGACCTCTGATAGCCCAGACCGCTCTGGGAGTCAGGGCGGACAGCGTTGACCCCAGTCTGGTCAGCGCTCCGAAGGTCTGGCTATGTCCGCCGTCTCACACACCGGAATCAGCAACCACGACCTGATATCGTGTGCGCAGCAACTTCCACCACGAAGTGTCAACTGCCAAAAGCCCAGGACCGATGTCCCCATCCTATCTATACCCTAAACCAGCCTAGACACGACCTAGACCGGACTGACTGACCGACCGGTACCATTTCTGTTTCGGCCTCTACGGCCTCTCACTACCCGGCTATAGGCTATAGGACCGTCTATCAGCGTAGGCCCATTGGGCCCGTCTGTCCTAGGGGTAGCCCGGGTCTGCTGTTCGCAGTTAGGGTAGCTGTAGGAAATTCGAGTTAGTACCGGGCCCATATTTCCTATATTTACAAATATGTCCCTCACGAATTTTCCTTGCGGGTAGGTCTCTCGGTTAGCCCTCAGCCAAACAAAATTACGAATCTATGTCTACCTAGGATACAGCCTCGTCAGAGAGAGGCTACAGGCAACCTGGAACCAGCAAGTCATTGCATCTATGTGTCACTCATGGTCGAACTTTGTTTCAACCAAGTGCTTTCTCTTTGACCATTCATGATAGAGGAGGACCTACCTGTATTTTGTAAGCAGTGCCATGTCAGTCCTTGTGATGGTTTGAATCTGCAACTGTCTGTGACCACTTTGTGCTCGGAATGGACTCGTATGAACTGCAAATCCACAAAATGATGGTCTCAAGGGCAACTGTGCTTTACCATTTTGTGTGTGCGATGCACTGGCATGAACTGCAAATCCACAAATGATGGTCCAATCCGCAGCTTTCCTTGCCCAATCTGTGCATGACATGTCGAATATCAGACGACGTGAATTGTTGCCGGGTTGGCCTGATTTTGTGCATGGGATGCAGTGTTTCCCTGCAAGTATCAACTGATTGTTTCCAAAGGCCTGCTGATTTTCATGATACTTTGGCTATGTTATCATGTACTTGTGACTCATTATTAGTTGGAGGCACCCAACTTTGTGCCTAGTAATTCACGCACTTCAGGCTGACCTGATGAACAGCGCTTGAGTGGTTGATGTTTCAGGCAAAGGCGTAGATGTACCTGATCTACATGGTGGTGAAGGTAGAGGGTGCGGCTGTAGCTTTTTGCGTGTTTGAGCTCAGGCCCTCACTTTTCTGGCTTCTGTTTGCTTTTGTTGGTTCTTGCAGAGGGTGCAGCACGAGTTATTAACAAAATGTGAAACCCAACTCCTGGAAAAGGAGCACTCTGGATGCCATGCGTTGCTCAGGGATGATAAGGTGAGTGACTCATCATCTCATAAAGTTAACCCTGGGGCAAGGTTCCACTTGAATGAACATGGATAAGGAGGATCGGTGGCCAGTATCGTCTGATCCGTGCAAGTGGGAGCTCGACCCTGGAGTAAAATGTTCTGTTTGTGGGGCCACATTTTGGATCTTGCTTTTTTCTCACTCCAACTCCGGCTTGTTTGGATGATGACTTAGCATAATAGGAGGCTGTGCTTTTGACATTTGGTTAGTCTGTGCCAACTGAGCGGACCTCCATAGAGAACATTGAGGCGTTGTTGGGTAGTGGGTTTTGTTTCGTTCGACATGTTCTTGTGCCCCATAATAGGAGAAGTGTGATTTCTCTGTCAAGAGGTAGTAGGGTGGCAGAATACGTTCTGTGGGCAGTGTGCCAATATCCTGGCTGGCGGATCGGCCTCTGTTGCCAGGCGTTACGAGAACAGGTGAAGCAGTCGGACTACCGTAGTTGGTTCAGCCAGCAGTGCTCCCCCTCTGACTCTTTCTCAGGTTGTTTTCCACAGTCTTGGTGAAGAAAGAGGTCGTGTGTTTTTGCGCAGGTTTGAGTCCTTCCTGCAGTGGTTGTTGAGCCTTACAGACCAAGCAAGATTGGGTGACTGGCGCAAACTGTTTTCTCGTTAATTGAATGGTGTGTGGTCATGGTCTGATGCAGGAGTGGGCTTGGTCCTGACAAAGCTGATTTCACGACGTTGGGATCAACAGGGGCCACTCTTTGAGGATGTGAATTCTCCATCTACAGTTTCTTGTTTTTGTGCTCTGTTTTTTTGGTTTCATTAATATTGATGGTCGAGTATATGCAAGGTACATCCACGAACGTAAGTAAGATCGTTGGCGAACATTGAGCAAAGAAGGAAAGAGTCGTGCTCCTCAACAAATGGTTACTTTCAGTAAGCTAGAGCAGTCGATGAATGACGAGTTCGGGTACTCGATCAATCCCACTTCGTTCTGACCTCACATCAATTCTGTCAATTTTCAATTCCCTTTAGCTAAGGTTTCAGTTGAGATAAGAGCTGCGATGGCTGGATTTGGCCGTGTGGTGTATTATCACTTGGTTACTTGCTCACTACACATCGAGAGTCTAGAAGAAACATCGTCTGTCAATGCTCTTTCCGATCACAAGAGAACTCCAAAAAGCATCCTGAGGTTCTGCGTAACAGGAGCCTTGTAATCTGGCTATGTCTTGGAACACCCTGGGAGGTACGAAGTACAAAGTCCTGATGATTTGAGCATGAGAGGTGTCACAAAGGTTTGAGCATGTCAGGTGTCAAAAAGTTGCAAGGGCTCTGCAGGTGCTGCCTAGTTTCAAATTGATTTTTCTGCTCATCGCAGGTGTGCTGTTGCATGCAGCCATGAAGTTCACGATGGCCGTATAGCACCTTCATATACCACCTAGGAGGCCCGGAAATCAATCAGTCTCATGAATCTCTCTTCGCTGTCCACAGTTTGACAGCCACCTGTCATAACATGATACCAAGTGAAGATTGAGCAAGAGGGTTTGGAGCGGTCAGAGGTTTTGACGAGCATGTCCTCCACTGTTGCACTGTTCGCCTCTGTGTGTGGTCGAGTGTACTGATCTTCTCTTTCTGGAAGAAGTGAAAGGGACATTCTGTAATGGAGTAACACTTTTTGCCTTCCTGATGTTCTACTTATTTTCGAAATTTAACCTCTTAATTAAGTGCTGTGGAAGCCTTGCTACAAGGGCAAGTGCAAGGCCTGCACTGCTCACTCTCCCCAGGAAATGCGTGCCATTTGCTTTCACTGGAATGTTACTGGGAGAGTGGTGGGATCTGACCCTGGTGAAATCTGCTTTGACTTTTCCTTCCCTCTGCAGTGATTGACCTCGTCAGCCTTGATCTGCACTTTTTTCTCATTTGTTGCTACGGGCTCTGCTTTCTGTTTTCCTTTGTCTTCCGTTCTGTTTGTTTCTAAAAGGTCGAAGATCTCTCAAGGATGTACAGACTTTTCCTCCGCATTACAAGGGGCTTAGAGCCAGTGGCAGCTATATTCCGTCAGGTAATCCTGAAGTCTTTATGTCAACCTAAGCAGGTTTCGGCTGGCTTTCCCTTCCTGTTGTTTTAACTTTGTTGTTTCTCATGCACTGGTTGTACCTCATGGGATTGATTGTTGGATGTTTCCATCCCTGTTGTTTGAACTCTGTTGTTTCTTTTGAGTTGGCCGTAACTCGATGGGTATGACCGTTGGTTGATGTTTATAGCTGAAGGATGAAGCCTCTTTTGTTTGTATCGATAGTTGATGGTATCTGTCCTCTGGCTTGCTGGCAACCATCCGATAAGAACAGTTCTTTTTTTTTTTAATGACAACACGGCCCCCTTTATATGCAAGCAACCGTCCAATAGGGCACACAATTTGGAGATGTGAAGGCTAATAGCACCTACAAAAGACCAATCATGATTAAGCCGAAACCAGAATTACAAAGGTGAGAGCACACCAACTAGAGAACACGCTGAACACTGGAGTCTCTTCACAAAGAAAGCCATCTTCTTCGCGACTCCAAACAATCAGTACAGTGACTACAGTCTGATTTTTCCTTCTTTGTCCAAACTCGAAAAGCTTGCGTTGCTTGCTTAATATTGGGCTTATAAAAATGGGCAAAGCGATCACTTCAAAAAACAAGTGATGGGGTGTTGTTTTCTAGTTCCGTTCACCCAATCACCCGGGATACACTCATTTCTCCCATTGAAGTAGCCCGACTATGATGTGCCTGCCTATACTACTCTCCTACTCCACCTAGACACATCAGCATAGTGGCCTATGTTTGAAAAAACATGAGGAAAAACGAGATAGTGTTACAGTTGCGGATGCAGATGAAACGAGGCAGAAAAAATGCTACACTAAAATGCTACACGACTCGCCTACTCGTCCTACACACACCAGCCTACTGGACTACGTTTGAAAGAACATGAGAAAAAGGAGATAGTGTTGCAGTCGCGGATGCCAGCTGAAACGCGGCAGAAAAATTGGGAAAATGTCTGAGCAGGTCTATGTTTGACGAAGAGGTGCAAAATGGCAACAGTAATCTTCCTCTGCTGTTGATGTTGAGCTGGCGGCTCATTTGTTAACTATTACATGGTGTGCTAGCGGTGACCAAGTGCTGAAAGCTAGACTCCAGGGACGTCGGGACTCGTGTATTATTGGAGAGGGATTGAAATTTGAGTGGAATACGTTCAAATTGGTTACTGATGGAGGACTGCTTCCCGTCGCTGGCACCCAACATGTCTGGAGCCTACCAGCCGATGGGACAACCGGTTGGTCCGTGCCGGTTGGCGGATTGTTTCGCCTGCCTCAGATTTTTTGACACGGTAGGACTTCCAATGGACCAGCCTTTGGGAGCCACAGTAGGGCTAACATACATGTACTGTACAAGTGCAGACAAGTCGGCTGACATATATGTGCAGTTTAGGGGTTGGTGTTGCAGGGTAGGGTTTGTGTTGCTGTAGCAGGCATGTTAGGTGTTATGGGGGGCATGAGGATGTTTGCAGACTTGAATGAAAATGCCTCCAAACCGTCCATAGTCCCCAACCTGCCTGCTACACAAGCACAAAATCATCCCCCCAACGCCTACGCACGCCCCTCAAGCACCTCTGCACCCCCTTGAAAACCAAACACTTAAAAACACTGTTCCGAGCATGTTTCTGAGTGTTTCGGGCAAGCGCAGTACATCCCCAAATTTTACTTTTCCAAAGTGTAGCAGGAGGGCCACTGTTGTACTGGTCACCGGTCCGCCAATCAGTCGGGTCGAACGGTTGCCTGTCAGCGTCTGCAGTCAGCATGCATATGCAGCCCTGGTTACTGGGTAGAATATTTTGGACCCGAGTCAAGAGTGTCATCTTGAGATCGGAGACCAGGATCACGGAGGCACTAGTTCTCAACTTGTAGATCAACTTTTGTCTGGGTAAAATTCTTTGGACTTCAGTTGGCAATTTTGTCTTCAGATTCCGGACTAGTGTTCATTTGTGTATACTGAATAAACCCTTTCGGTTGTTCTGAAGGTCTGATGTGAAGATTGGCTGACCAGGGATACTGTCTGCTGGTTGTCTTTTTGTCTCCAGCATGTGACTGATGAGGGTACAGCACTGGTAAAGCAGGCTGAAGAGGCTGCAAGCAACAAGAAGGTATAACCCTGATCCAACTTCCTAGCGCATTTCGGTTACAGGCCTTGTTCCATTGGTTAAATTGGGACTAATTTCTATTTTCTCTTTTTACATGTTGAGATAAACGGACGGGATTGCCTTGACCGACTTTGCAGCGAATCGTTATTCTGTGGGGGAAATTTGGTGCTCCACCTGTACATTGTCCGTCCCCTGAGCTGTCTACCCCTCCCCTGGCATCAGCTTGCACTGCTTTGTTTGCAGACACATGAGGCTGCAAATCTTGCATTTATGTTGCTGCATGCACAGAGTCTGAGGGAAGTGGTGAGCAAGAAAGGCAAATTGTCAGCGAACATGCTTAGGGCTTGTCAAACTTTGTCTTCTGACTGTGAAGTATGTTCTGTTGGCTGATCTGCTTTTTGAATACTTTTTACCAGGCAGAGAAGAAGGATGTCGTTGGTGCACAGGAGCAGGTCCGTTTACTTACAACCTAGATCACCTGTCAGTGATTTCATGAGAACATCGGTCAAGAAATGAATCTGCAGTTGGATTTTGAGGGTGCTTTTCTGTTCAAGGAAAAGAGTAAGAGAAAATTAGATAAGTGTCGGGTGGCCTGCTCGCGTCCGCAAGTTAAAAAATTGGCCCCGTCAGAATGCAAGTGGATGTGCAGATATGCAGGTGCATGATCTGTGCCTGGATGTATCGAGGCTCAGGTGCATTCTGACCGGACCTATTCAGTCTTTTCAAAAGTAATTGGTTTCTGACCACACTTGTAGGTTGCCTTTCTCTTCCATCTCTGTTTCACCTCCCAAAGAAAATTCCGTCTGCTCTCCTGCCCTGGAATTGTGAAGTATGGATCCCGAAACGTCCTCTACTCGGTTACCATTGTCAGGGAAGTGTCGAAGTAGTCTTCTTTCTGGGTTTCCTGTTCTGCTGCGGAATCGCACACTCTCTGCAGAGTCTGCACACGGCTTTGAAGGATAAGATTGTTTCTCCATGTGGGCCCAAGGTTTTTCGTGCAGCTATGCATTTCTCATGGAAGTGTGCTTGGCGAGTCTGCTTCCGATCTTTGTGTCTGTCAAGGAAGAAGAACACTCTTGATTCAGATGCTTCATTTCATGCGAGTGAATATCCTGGTAGTTCTCTGGGTTTCTTCAATTCGTTTAAGCAAAAGCGGAACGAGTGTTTGTGTGCTGTGAGGATAGAGCAGCCTAAATGTTGAAACGCTTTGTAGAGAGATATCTTGTCCAACTGCTATCATGCGGATAAGCACCGCCGGATTGGGCTGTCGGTTGCCAGTGTCACTGAAGAAGAAGCTAATTACGAGTACAAGGGATCCAGTACACACTTCAGAGGCTGACATATTTTCTTATCGAGTCTCTGATACAATTTCTGCAGTTGAAATGTAGGGCCAGGCACCCTAGGCAAAAGCGCTGAAAAATGGAGGAGGTCTAAATCGAGCACAGCCAAAGGTGCTCGCGTAGGACAGTCGAAAGATGTCTCTTGTGGAGAGGAACTTGTCACGGGGGGCTCCTGCACAGATCATTATTCACAGGAGAATGCTGCAAGACATTGTCTAGTGTTGGTGATCACAAGGGCTCTGCATCATGTTCAGAACTTTTGCCGCCTGGGCTTGCTTGCCATTGCCAAGTAGATTGCTTCTGAAGGGCCACCTTAAGTAATTTCCCGGAGCATGTGGTGCCTGATTACATCTCTTCTGGGGACCATACCTTGCCTCATGTCTACTGCGTGCACACTGTTTAGCACTTCGCTGCTTTTGGCGGGCTGTCTGTGCTGAGTGGTTTTCCAGTTGTGGGGGAATGTAGAGTGGGCGTATCAGGGACAGGAGGCCACAAAGAGGAGTGTGTTTGCATATGTGTGTGTGTGTGTGTGTGTGCGCGCACGCACAAGCAAGAGAGAGAGAGAGAGAGAGAGAGAGTCTGGAACCCTTGGGTGTTCTCAGTGCTGTTTCGTTTTTTGGCATTTGTATGTGTTTCACTCGGTTGTGAATGGGGCAGTGAACCGTCTGGGAAAGCCTTGTGGTACAAAATGGCTTAAAGCTTGGGGTCTTCTTGTGGAGCACACACGTTCTCCAGGTAGTGAAACAAATCTTGAAACGTAGCTAAGTTGGCAGTTAACCAACCTCCACATGCTTGGTGTGCTTTTATCCATGATTCATTTTCAGTCATGTTGTTTGCTTTAGTGTAGATCATGCTCCGTAGCTGATGAAGTTGGTGAATGGGTGATCTTTTCAGGCATTTGTCAGACGGGTACTGGAACTACATGACAAGTATTTGCAGTATGTAAGCGAGTGCTTCGCGAACCACTCTCTCTTCCACAAGGTATGTGATGGAACTGTGTTTCGCAACCCATTTGGGTGAAAAGCCTTGATGAATATTACTTCTGACCGGATGAACAAAATGGTAGTCCCACTTGTACGTTTGTATGATGTCCTTCGCAGGAACTTGATGAATTCAGGTATTAAACTACTTGATGATACGAACACGGTACACAACATCATTCATGTGGTGAAACAAGTAGCGAGGGAGTGGACGAAAGGGGAGGAGGGAAACCCATCCTGGACCATTGATAACTGCTGGTCAGCTCTGGTACTGTGCTAAGGTGTTCCTCTATTGTTGCCATTGGTAGTGTGAACTTGGGGAAATTTGTTGTCTGAGGACTCTGCCACTTCAGCAATCTCTGTTTGGCAAACCGGTCAGCTCGAAAAAGTCGTGTTTCTTGATTCACGACGTTCACTTCTGTATTGAGATTTAAGTATCTTGCCCTGACATGTTGGCAAACCAGCCAGCTCGAAAAAGTCGTGTTTCTTGATTCACGACAGACATTCACTTCTGTATTGAGATATAAGTATCTTGCCCTGACACGCGGAATCAGGGGGTCTTAAGCTACCAGTAGCTCCAAGGCGGATTCCCCCTCACCACCCAAAAAAAACGAACCAGCATGGAGGGTAATGTGGGTGTTGGGGGCGGTTTGGGGGGGTATTGGGGGACACTATGAGGGTGTTGGGTGTTGGATGTGTTACTGGGGGTTCTGGAACCCCCCCACCACCACCACCAAAAAAAAAAAAAAAAAAAAAAAATTTTTTTCTTTTTGTGGTGTGCCGACGACCCCCAACCGGTAGGTGCCGACCAGTCAAGGGCCGCCGGCCGTCGGGGGGTGCAACAATGCTGTCTATGACTATGGCCCATTTATTCAGGGTGTTTTTTTCTCTTAACGTGGTGAATGACAACATCAACTTCAGTCCTGGTCCGCACCTTTTGACATAAGATGTGTGCTCGACAAATGTTACTCTTCTGTTATTCAGGACTGATCAACTGTGAACAAATGATGCCGCTGACGATCCACAATCAATAATGCAATGTTTGCAGGCCTTGAAGGAAGCGTTTGAAGTGTTTTGCAACAAGGGAGTGGCAGGTAGTACCAGTGCAGAGCTGCTGGCAACTTTCTGCGACAACTTGTTGAAGAAGGGAGGCAGTGAGAAACTGAGTGACGAGGCGATCGAGGACACTCTTGAGAAGGTAAGAAGCTTCTTTAATTTTGTGTCCTAATCAGGTTTTAAGGAAAGTAGGACAAATGCGATGCTCATGGAACACAGAAGATGAGAGCGATCTCTGAATAGACAAATGCAGTTTTGCACATTAGCCGACCCCTGTTTCTGACAGCCGATCCTTGTAGTCTATGATTTAGAGCCAAGAGTCCAGGGATGTAGGACCTCGGTGCTGGCTTTGCCCCTGTAGTCTTTAGTTGGTGTTTGCCCCTGTAGTCTTTAGTTGGTGCAGCTATGTAGCTCATTGGACATGTTGTATACTAGTACAGGGTGTACAAAAATCTGTATACCCCCCTGTAACCCCCATACAGACACTGTACAATACCTTTACTTGGCCAAAAACAAGGTCATGGCTCCCTATCATTGCAAAACTGTTGCTGCACATTTTATTCATGCCGGAGAATTTGGCACAGCCTCGTGCCACGGCAAGTTTGGGTGTGGAAGAGGTGTGTGTGTTCTTATTCATGAGTCAAATGCATCTGGCAGTGTACTGAAGTTCAGCCCTCTGAAGAGGGTGGAAATTGGATGAAACACTCCCTTGCTGTGGAATTTTGTGTGGCGATTGTGGACACACACCCCAAAAAAAGGAAGGAAATCTGAATAAGAGAAATGCCCGTGCAGGTTCTATCGCTTGTAAGGTGTTCAAGATGGCTCGGTGTGCAGATCACCTGTGCGTCACATGCACTGGGTCATGTAGGTCAGTGATACGTTGCTGGCCTTATCAAATAGGACGGGACCTGCATTGGGTCACATAGACAATATGATGACGAAAGAATCTTGAAGAAAAGCACATCTTGAAAGGAAAGGAGGACCAGCAGAACAACACGAAGAGAATGAAAGGAATGTGAAGTATTTTGTTTGATGTTGTGGTTATGGCTGCAGGTGGTGAAGCTTTTAGCATACATTAGCGACAAGGATCTCTTTGCCGAGTTTTACAGGTACGCAACCACTGCATTTCTGATTGGATGGGTGTGGTGTACTGTTAAGGCAAGTTTGTTTGATACTTCTCATCATGGGATATTTTTTGTGGCCTATTGTGTTCGGAAACAGAGGTTTGTGGTTGGCAAAATTGTCATGAAACGTGCTGGTCCCTCTTTCCCAGGCCTATTGCTGTTCTAGTGCTGCAATTGAATCAATGGTTGGCAAGGGTCTATAAACCTCAAAAGTGCAGATTTAAGAGTCTGTGGATGCCAGGTTGTAGACTGGTGGGGACTCAATTTTGCGAGTTAAGAGCAAGGCCCACTCGCTTCAAGTTTTTGCTTGGAAAGCATGAACCTGGACATAGGATGACTAGAATCGTGCTTTCCATGGTGTGAACGTAGCTGCAGTGAGGGAAGACCCCGCTAAAAGAAAACTGGGGCAGTGGCAGACTGTCTTCCTCGAGGCTACGCTCTATATTCTGAGCTACCCTCTGGACTGAATGTTGGCTTTACGCTGGCCGGCTCACGGCTGTATATGGGCCAGAGGTCGGAACTCGACCTCCTTCAGCTGCTTCTGACTGGCATCGTCTTCTGGTTGCAAATGAGAGTGCGGGCTTGTTTTATTCACCTCTCTCAGGAGGTGAACCGGTCTGTGCTTTTCCTGCTCTGCTTTTTGTGAGAAACAAAAATGGAAGAGCAGATTTTGAAGGATACAGGGGTTAGAAGGTGCCGAGATGATCATAACACTACTGCTGGGGTGCACAAGGATGAGGAGTCACGAAAGACTGTACGAGGATGCATGGAGATACAGGGATTGGAATTAGAATGCAAGGGTCACAGAGATAGCCAAAATAAGGTCATGAGGGACAAAAGCGACAGAGTATTAGCAAGGCGGGTTACACAGGATACGTACAAGGATGCATGGAGATATAGGGATAGAATGCAAGGGACACAGAGATAGCCAAAACAAGGGCATGAGGGACAAGAGTGACCCAGAGTATTACCAAGGGGGGTAAACAGGATAAGGCGGACATGATGAGAGCATGACAAATGTAGAAAGTGATGACGGAATGACGATGGGGTGATGACGGCAAGATGGCAGGTCTGATAGGCGGCCAGAGGAACTGCATGGGAGGCTACCCAGCTGCTCCCGGCTGTTCTCCTTTCTCGTCTGATCTCCCCCCTTCTCTGGATGCACGAACATGCTTGCCGGTAATAAGCAACTGTACTGCTGCCCCCCAGAATAGAAGGGGTAATGTTTTTTGTATTAAAAAAAAGAAAGGAAAAATGAAGAGGGTTTAAATCTGCCACCGCATGTTCACTCTATGTCAATCTTGCTGACATCTCCAGTTGCCCTGCTTATGCTTGCGAATATAGTGCTGACACTGTGCATGTTTCAGAGAGAGAATGTGTGTGTGTGTGTGTGTGTGTGAGAGAGAGAGAGAGAGAGAGAGAGAGAGAGAGAGAGAGAGAGAGATTGTATGGTTTCGGTGCTTGTGATTGATTCTTGACTGGATGGTTTCGGGATTGTGATTCGTCAGGAAGAAGCTCGCTAGAAGGTTACTGTTTGATAAGAGTGCCAATGATGACCATGAGAAGAGCATCCTGACAAAGCTGAAGCAGCAGTGTGGGGAGTGCTGACACTGTGCATGTTTCAGAGAGAGAATGTGTGTGTGTGTGTGTGTGTGTGTGTGAGAGAGTGAGAGAGAGAGAGAGAGAAAGAGAGAGAGAGAGAGAGAGAGATTGTATGGTTTCGGTGCTTGTGATTGATTCTTGACTGGATGGTTTCGGGATTGTGATTCCCCAGGAAGAAGCTTGCTAGAAGGTTACTGTTTGATAAGAGTGCCAATGAAGACCATGAGAAGAGCATCCTGACAAAGCTGAAGCAGCAGTGTGGGGGACAGTTCACATCGAAGATGGAGGGCATGGTAAGATCAGCTCAGATCAGTCACACTGGATTTCTTCCCTTTTTTCAGGGTGACATGGCATTTCTTTGTTGCAGGAAAGGGGAGCCTACCTCTCATTCACTCCAAGGGCTCTTTCAGAAGTAAATTTGATGTGAAGTGCGCAACGCATTGGAGCATCCATTACATGCACTCTCATGCAGTTATCCCTACTTACACTGGATTGAATACTGTGTAATGCACACGAGAACTCGTTTACAATGTGCTGTCTCACATCTACACAAGCTGATACACGATCACAGCTGCACTATGGAGCACATGGTCATCACACTGATTGCAATACTCATAAGAACTTGTAACAGGCGTGGTACAAAGCAGATTGTGAACATCTTCAAATGCCCAGCCTTAACCAGCATCGGTTTCAGGTCGGGCCTCTAGAGGCTGAGAATGATGGATCGGTTTTTACTAAGCTGTCTGCAAGAATGTTGTGGTAGTTACTGAGGCTGCGTTCACAGTAGCTGGCTAACTGCTAAAGGGTTGAGCTCTTTATTATTGACCAATGAGTGGAATGTCTGTTTGACGCCTTTGTTGGTCGAGCTCAGCCCTGAGCAGCGGAAATGGTAGAATGACATCAATGCATACAAACGAAGATGAGAAGTGGTGTAGGTGGTGTCTTCCTCACGTCGCGTTCAAGAGGTGCTTCAGCAGGGCTTGCGATGCAAGCTATTACGCCACTTGATGGCTGTGGTAGGGGCTGTAGACAAAGCATGACGGAGTGCGTTGGGCTGGCCTTTGTTTAATCTGTAGTACACTCTTGTGGAAAAGCTGCACAAGAGGTTGCGGTTGTAGGCACGGTATGATGAGCGGGTGGGTAAGGAAGACCCTAGTATAGCCTGTGGTGAAGATTCTTGTCCAGCAGCTGTGTTAGACCATCGAAAAAAAGGGCAGATGAGAAGGTCCTGTGCTATTGGATGCTGATTACTGTCGCTCGTGGTGGGAACCCCATGCAAGATCAAGGTGCATGGACAGCAGCAGGGAGAGCAGAACGGAAACAGAGAAGTATGCTTAGAATGGTGCTACGAGTCTGGCCTAGGTCTGGTCTGCTGATGCTTGTCGTTTATTTCAATGAAGAGCACTGCTATACTCCGCTATAGGCAGTGATGTTGTGTCAGTTTCAGAAAGAGGGTCGGAGAAGACGCTGGGCTGGTGCCATCTTTGCCAATGTGATTTTGTGTGCGGGATGATGTGTCTTGAAAGAAATGGATAAAGAGGGGAAACACTCCATTGGCCAGGCTTCTATTAGGGACATGTGCAGCACCTCGATAGTGAGAGCAACCATTTTATCACTCAGTAGTGCAGTGTGCTGCTGGTGTGGGAGAAAGCGTGGGACACAAGCTTGAAATAGGTGTAATTTTACTTGAAACGTAGTATATGTACATCATTTTTGTAATGTTTTACACACCTTGTCAGTATTCCTTCTCGCGACTTTCACTACATGTGTGCGAAGTGCAGTGTGCCAGTGCAGCGCTCGCGGTCTGCTGCACTGTGTGCTGCAAGTATACGCGGAATGCATAGATCGTCGATGGAGGGAGTTGCAAGCTACTTGTGATTTTGCTGACGGCTGGTCGTCGGGATGGGGGTTGGCAACAAGTCGACAATGTTGATTGGTTTTGAAGGCAGTCGGGGATCCCTTGAGAGCATCAAGACTTCCAAAGTCTAGCACATGGTTGTTTATAGGGATTTCCCGGGAAGATTTTCATGACCGGCCAGTCACCCGGGCATAGGGGAAAATAAAAGATAAAAAAAAGAAATTGGCGGTGGGGGTTTTCCGTGCTCTCGGAGAGGAGGCCAAAGTGGAGCACGGGATTTCCTGGGAAGACTGTCATGACCGGTCGGTCTGGACTGGCCGGTCACCTGGGCATAGGGGAAAAAAAAGATAAGAAAAAGAAATTGGCGGTGGGGGCTCCTGCGCTCTTGGAGAGGAGCCCAAATCCAGGCTCTTTTCTTTTTTTGAGTGTCGGCTGTCAAGGGGGGGAAAGGGGAGAATGAATGAATTTTGAAGGGGCTAAAGGGGTTTGAAGGGGGGTGCCTTAGTGTGATTTGGTTATTTTATTTTCTATCTTCAGTTCCGTGAGGAATTCTGATGTGACACTCAGCCAAAAGTTGTTTGTATTGCAATTCTACACGACTTCTTTTTTTTGGTTCTTTTTTTTGTTTTTTTCTTGCGATTGGGCTGCCCAGGACCATGCCCGGGGGTTATGACTGGCCGGTCACCCGGTTGCCAAACCGGGCATGACGTTGGGACCCAGGCGCCCGGGATATATCCCTAGGGGATTTCTGAATTGTTTTTTTTTTTTTTTCCAAGAATCATGCTTGCCGATGAGTTCTGTGGCTGATGAAAAGATTCTACGGACATGCCTTTCTGTCATGGTGGGGTTACAGGTATTGGACTTGACACTTGCGCGGGACAACCAGTCCCCGTTTGAGGACTATTTGAGGGAGAATGTTGCGAATAACCCAGGAATTGATTTGACAGTCACAGTTCTGACAACAGGGTTTTGGCCAAGTTACAAGACGGCCGACCTTGCCCTTCCAGCTGAGATGGTAAGTAAATCAGAAGTGTGTCTATTGCATTGCTGCTCACATCTCTCCGGTTGGGAATTTTCACACACAGTCGTGCTCGCCACTTTATCTTTGGATGTAAAAAGCTATGATAGTCTGAAGTCGTAAAGTCGTGCTAACCAAATCAAGGAGTTTCTACGAGCATAGTCAGACCAGGACTTTTTCAAAAGATTATGGGTATAGTTGCGGTCAGATACATCCTGGGAAGTCCTAGTGTGAGTAGGGCCTGAGACATGTCCAGAACTTGGGTTTTCAAAGATCACAGTCTGTAAATTGGGTGATTTTATCATTTTCTCATTCCGTATACAGCATTGTATGCAGGGTGTCGAAACCTTGTGGCCATAATTTGTGCGACGACTTCCTCCCACGGAGGATATCGTGTTTGGGTTCCATGAGTTGAGGAGTTCTATCCTCTTGTGACTGACTTGGGAAACATCGCATGCCAGGAATTGGCAGCGGGGGAAGTTCGGGAACGATTGTACTCCCAACAGCAATAGGGTGACCACCCTATGGCCATCCGACTGTGCGTACTCGTTTACAGTGCTGTGCGCAGAATCTGCGGCAAGTGTGCATTTGGTAGGTGGAGAAATAGGATCGATGTACATATGTGGTTGTGGGCGTGTCACCCCCAAAGAAGTAGAAGGACAGCGCTCATGGCGTTGTTGACGGTGGCCTGTCTTGCATGCATCCTGCCGCACCCGTCTGCATGCATCCGCTCAATCCTCCCCCCACAAGAATAGTATTGCATCTTTATCAAAAAAGAAATCGCTCCTGTTGCTCCCCCCCGGAAAAGCTGAAACATAACCTTTCATGACCTTTTGGCGAAGATCACATGTAGTATGTCCTGATCTGTTAAAACTGCCTCTACCTCCGAGCCTCTTTTTGCCGAGGCGGAGTGGAACCGCACACCAACTGGGGGTTGAAGCACCAGCGTGGCGTTTTTGTCTTCTTGTGGTTGGTGCCGTCAGCCTTTGTGGTCTGGTAGCGCCCAGCCTCCGCTGGCCTCCAGAGAATGTGGTATAGTTTACCGGGTTACCCTTACAACTCAGCCTCCCAGCGGTGGCCAGCGAAAGGTAGTGGTGGTTTAGCATATGATCTGAGAAAACTGTAAAAGCAGTGGAAAATGCGTTGGTGGCTTGCAGTTGCTCTTCCAAGGCTACCGTTTTGTCTCTCCTTTTATATGCCAACCGCAACAACCCAAAGCTAAGTCTACCATTTCGTCCCAAACGGAGATGAAGTACAAAAAGATGACGAACGAGAGGGCCGAAGGTGCGTCTTGAATGCTACATAAACCACGCAGGGAAGCTGTGGGGTGGCACTGTGCCCCGTTCATCATGCATTGGTGTGGCAAGGATAGGAGGAGGAACATCAAATGTCACACATCCATGGGCGGGGAAAAGAGCACCGTCTTCTAAAAACTCCAGTGGAAAATGCATTGGAGGTTTGTGAGTTCTGTTTCAAATGATACCCTGATGTCTCTCCTTCCATTATATGCCACCTGGAACAACCCAAAGCTTAATCTATGTGTAAGGAACCACGACTGCCTCAGCTGCTTCCCTTGACTGCTGCTGGCGCAGTCGGGGAGGCTGTGGGGTGGCATGGTAGCACCCCGTCGACCGTGCATTGGCATGGCAAGGATGGGAGAAAACTTCAGGAAAACCATCATAGTGAATATAGAATGGTCATGGTGTGGACTGGTGAAGGATGCTGCGGTTTTCTGCACTGGTGCGGTAGGGAGAATAACAGGCATGGACAGTGTCATTGATTTGCTCTCCCCCCCCTTTGCAGCAGGTATGAACAGGTAATTGCTATGCTCTCTCTCCCTTTGCAGTAGTTGATGTGCTCTCTCTTCCGTTGTGCCTGTGTGCCAAAGAGGGGGTGCTTCTTCCAGCCTAGTTATCCTGTGGTTGGGGACTGACCTCTCTCTCTACCAAAGTCACATTGGCACGCGATTCGCCTTGCCGTCCTCCGCAAGGTGGTAGGCCGGACTTGTCTGCAGCAAGTGGTTTTCTACAACAGCTCTTTCAGTGCACCAAACAATCTTGCGGCACATGGCTTGGTGTAACTGCGCTTTGTACTGCAACAAACCATTTGTTTCAGCAATGAAGGATGCCTTGCTGCGGTCGGAGGTTGGGCGGACTTGCTTTGACATGCATCATAAATGTACACATGCTGTGTCCTCTCCAAATGCGGTCAGGACAACATTGGCTTTCGCTGGAATTATAGGTACTCGGTCCCACAGTAGCCCAATTGCATGAGCCTAGTAAGCTTGGCACTTTGAGTTGTCAAACGTGTCAGCCAACGGTTGAATTGATTGCTGCTGTCCAAAATTGGGGTGATGCCGGGAAAGTCTATCATTTTGTGGAGTTTGATTCTTATCATGCTGCTTCGGCTCCCTCCCTTCCTTTCTTTTTTTCTTCGCAGGTCAAATGCGTGGAGGTATTCAAGGAGTTCTATCAGATTAAAACAAAGCATCGGAAGCTCACCTGGATGTATTCGCTTGGTAGCTGTAATGTTATAGGGAAATTTTCGCCGAAATCAATTGAGCTTATTGTGACCACGTATCAGGTGAGATGACAGGATTCTTATAACATTCTCGTTGAGGAAATCAACGCTGTGTGTGTGCGCTATGTTACACAGAGAGAGAGAGAGAGAGTGGATGGTCTCTATGCATTAAACATGGATAGGGCCGGTGCCGACCACCGTGCCTGGTTTGCTCCCTCCTTCCCACCTAAGACCAAGTCCTCTTCTTGCCCTGTGAAATTGCATTGATCTTGTACAGTAGGAGACAGCCCAATTATCCTGGTCATTTTTCTGCATCTTGGCTGTGTTATCCTTCTCCCTATCAAATTATCAATCCATGGCGTTTTGACTATCTCATATATTGGTCGTCCTTGCCCCATTACCACCCACCCTTGCTGCATTTGCTGTTTCCTCCGGCCTGTGGCACCTTGTCCGCTCTTCCGTGAACTTTGGCGCATCTGTGGCTCTCACCATCCTCTCCAGCCCTCTTACTGTGTGCAAGGGTGGCACTGAACACAGAAGGAAACAAGGGGTCTTTTGCTGACATGGTTGTGTTCCGTGGTGCAAACACATTCTAATGGCTCATCTATTTTCTTGAGGCTCACAAACTTGCTTGTGTGCCATGCAGGCTGCCGCACTTCTTCTGTTTAATTCGGCAGACCGCCTTACATATGGGGATATCAAGGCCCAGCTGAACCTCACCGATGAAGATGTGCAGCGACTTCTTCATTCTTTGTCTTGTGCCAAATACAAGATTCTACTGAAGGACCCGGCCACGAAGATGGTCGGTCCCAATGATGCGTTCGAGTTCAACGAGAAGTTTACGGACAAAATGCGGAGGATCAAGGTATGAAAATTTCTGGATTGGAGGCACTGATGGGAGGCACTGATGTTGCTTTTTCTGGATTTATTGCTGGTGATTAAAATCACAACTGATATCCTTTGATCACCAAAAATTAAGATTGCTCCTGAATGAGGGCCGTTTGTGCAAATGGATGGTGGCCCGGATGAAGGGCTGGTCTTAAATTTCTGTGATTGGCCTACAACCTGGGCACTTTTCGTGTACGTTTGCTCGTCCGAATTCTAATTTTTGGTCACCGACCTAGAATCTGGGCCTACCATCACGAACATCCCAGATCTAGTATGTGAACCTTTCTCCAATGTTGCGAACGGTGCTGCCGTTTGACTTCCCCCCCCTTTTCAGCAGTGTGGACGGCAAAGAAGTCCGACAAAATAGTCGATCACGTTCATTCCTTTTTGTTGCAGTTGTGTCAACCATGGACATGAGAGAGGCTAGTGCTATAAACCAACGTACCTTGTCGTTATGCAGCAAGTCACTCGCCTGTGGATGCACCTGCCCATGTTACATGTGCCTACCCGAACTGCTATCTGCAACCAATCAATTCAGACACGCTGTGTGACACACTCCCAAGTAGAATAGACATGTAATAGAGTATAGCCAACCGTCGCGCTTCTCATTTTAAACCGGCATTACATGGGCGCAGCCTTGTAAAATTCGTTCATCGCCTACTCCGGGTATGTAGAACTTGCGCTGCGTACTGGGCATCCCTTTGTACACGATGTACGGGGACATGCGTCGTACGGCCCCGGTACTACACATGTTTTTTTATTTGTACGTGTTTGTATGCGCGTACAAAACACATTGAAAACAGGTTTTTTCCCTTTTTTTTTTTTTTTTTTTATCTTAAAATGGGTTGCGAATTTCACTTTTTGTCCAAGGCAAAAGTTGTTCAGAATAATGTCTTCTATCACATAATGTTATTTTAAAGAATTTTCTAATGACTTTTTTTTCCCTTTACACAAGTGGTGCTGCGGGAAGAGTACAATGGAGTACACCACGGAGCACAACCTCTGTGCAACGGAATACAATGCCCGTACAAAAATTTCATTTTTTTTGTACGCTAGGCATGCCGAGGCTGCGTACCAGCGACCTTATGAATTATGATGATACTCTACCTTAACCCCTCGCCGAACTTTCATAATTGTTGGAAGTCAGACAATCGTCCCTTTTCTGCATCCTCATTGTCGTCTCATTTCCGTGTCCTTAGTGCCCTTCGTATCACATGCTTTTTTTCCCTCGAAAGGATTTTTTTTTTTTTTTTTTTTTTTTGGGTCATCTTGGAACTCGCTGGCCCCAGGTAAATTCAGAGTTACATCTGGTTTCATCTGGATTTGCACTTTGGTTTGTGTTTTGACTCTAGAGTCTTTTGACAGTTCATCGGTGTAACTACTGAGATAGGCCAGTTGCTATCACACAGGCTTTTCCCATCTGCCGCTCGTATTCGTTTCTGTTTCTTTGTGCAACCACAGCTGCCCTCGGCAGTCTTATTTACTGTTCTTGTGCATTGCTGTTCTTCTCCTATTCTTCAGATTCCCTTGCCACCAATGGATGAGAAGAAGAAAGTTATTGAGGATGTTGACAAGGATCGGAGGTACGCAATTGATGCTTCAATTGTGAGGATCATGAAGAGCAGGAAGGTTCTCCAGTATCAACAACTTGTGCTGGAATGCATCGAACAGTTGGGAAGGATGTTCAAGGTTCGTGGTTTCACCAAGTTCTTGCCTATTTTGAATTTTCTGTCCTGTTTTTTTGTCCGCCCTTTGGGTTTGAAGTTTCCCGTCTTCTGTTTTTTTTTCACGAGTTGGGGCTGGTGGTTTGTCGTTCCCTGATGGTTTCACCAAGTGCTTTGCTATTTTTCGACTTGTTGTCACAAGTTGGAATCGGTGGTTTGTTGCTGAGCCGTCGATATTTGCTGAACGTGTATTGAGCCTCACTGCCGGACACCTTGAGCACAGGCTCAAGGTGAGAGATTATACGAGATCCACACTGGAGTGCAGAGATGGAAAGTCCAGATATGCACAGCTTAGGGGAAAAAGATAATAGAGGTGACGTGGAGGAAGATAGGCTGGGGAAGGAGAGTGGCTGTCCAAGCTTAAGAATACAGAGTGTGGACTGAGGATTTAGAATGGTCGGTAGCCTTCTGAGAAAGGGCTGGAGGACTAAAAGGAGAAACGACAATTTTTTTTTAAAAAGGGAAAAAAAAAAAAAAATCCAACAACTTATCACATTAAACAGTTTCGGGGATCCAGTCACCAAGCGCTCGACAGCGCAGAATTCAGCAACCCAATACCAGCACCCTCATCTAGGTAGGTGACTCTCCTCTTTCTCTCTCTCTCTCTCTCTCTCTCTCTCTCTCTCTCTCTCTCTCTCTCTCTCTCTCTCTCTCTCTCTCTTTGAGAATCTTGACTCTGAATAAATCCGCTGCTACTCAGCTCCCTCTCAGTGCAGTGCTGCCCAGCAGGGCTCTTGCGCACATGCTATTCGCAGATAGCGCACAAGTGCTTCAGCAGAACTTCCACGCTTCTCACGTATGAGCAATTTCCCCGAAATGTGGATGGCCGGTCCTTATATCGATTTGGACTGAGCCTCAACTCGTCCCAGCCTGTGCTTCCTTTGGCTTGACTTGGACCCCCTCCGACCCGGTACCACATGCCCACGGCCTGCTTGCTTCAGAATGTCGAGGCCTGGTACTTTTCCCAAATTTTCATTGGTGTGCTGCTGCGCGAGTCTGTGAGTCACGACTTTTCATCTGTGGAACATGACTTTTGACTGTGGGTTGTGACTCTTGCGTCTGGGGCACGACTTTTGCCTGGAGAAGTGTCCTTTGCCTGTGGGACATGACTTTTGCTTACAGAATGCAACTGTTGCCTTAAGTTTGGGATGTGACTGTTTACCAGGGGGGTGCCTGTTGGGGACTTGACTCCTAAAGGCCTGAGACCTTGCCCCTGAAATCCGAATTTGGCCGACTAGTCCTCCCTTGGCTGTTGGGGACTTGACTCCTAAAGGCTTGAGACCTTTCTGAACTGGCCGACTAGTCCTCCCTTGGCTTGAGACCTTGACCCTGAAATCCGAATTTGGGGTCCGCGTCGTGGAATGCCTTTCAAAGAAGTCTTGTGTTTTGACAACGCGCTCAAGGGATGAAACTCTTGCACATCGGTTGCATCTCTCACCTTCCAACTTACTTTTGTTCAAGTTCTTCGGATACCCTCCCTCTCCCAAACCTCCCACATGTGGATCCCTTTCCTCTCTCACTTGAAAGCTATCTGCTGCCCCTGCTGACTGTGAAAGAGCGAGCTTCTTCATTTGCGCTAGTGCATCTAGTGACAGTCTCCGAGTTGGAGAATTCTCTCGGCCTTGCACGAGAGTCATGTGTCTGCAACCGTCTTGCATGAGATATCTGTTCTGGCCGGTCTTTGATGTTGAGATACTGATGCATGGGGACTGAAAATGACGTACGAAGTTGCAGCACCATGCTGTCAGAGTCAGAATGACTCTAGAGTCTTAGACCCTTTACTCCAGGAATCCACATGAGTCGGAGAAGGCGCTGAGAGATGCCTATGTCTCCCCACTGCTACCGTCTTTACCTGAATGGAACACCCCGTGATTATGGCTGTCAGCTGATGCTCTTTTCATCTTAGTGTGTCGAATTTGGTGCCGACTGTGAAAAGGAATATGGTATTGTTGGATACGGCGCTGGCCATCAAATATCGTAAAGCATGGCGAAGGAAAACCAAGACTAGTGGGTTTTGTACTATTCTCAAGTCTAGTCTGAGGTTGTGTCTTTGCCATGCAGAAGCACGAGGGGGAAGAACATGATTTGTAGGCAGTGGTACGGATATATATGCTCGGCATCTTCAGTGAGAGAGAATAACAACACTTCTTCTTTGTTATGTCTGTTTGCAGCCGGATTTCAAGGTCATCAAGAAACGGATCGAGGATCTCATTGCACGCGAGTACTTGGAGAGGGACAAAGATAACCCCAACATGTTCAGATACTTGGCCTAGAGGCAGTCGTTGAATGTGCTCGCTTGCTTGGAAGGGGGAATGCGGCTGCTGCTCGTTTGCCTGTCTGTGTGGTGTGGGGAGCGAGCGACAAGTGAGTGCAGTAGCGCAGCATGTGCATGCCAGTTGTTTGTTTGAGGTATCGTTTGTGTGTATGTGTGTGTGCATCAGAGAGAGAGAGAGAGAGAGAGAGAGAGAGAGAGAGAGAGAGAGAGAGAGAGAGAGGTTTGTGGGTGTGGGGAGATGCATCCGGGGCGCCAGGGTGGGGAGAGAGGTATGGTGGCAAAAGGATGCAAAGCAGGCTGCGGCAAATAACGGGCCTGTCTGGGAGAGGTGGTTGACATAATGTCTTTTGTTTGTTTGTATTAAAGTAGTAGAGTAACGAGGAGTGAACATGCGCACTCCTGAGTTTTCATTCCATGTGTACAGCGAGGCATCAGGTTTTTTCCCACTTGGGTAGAGAGAAGGTGCTTCAATCAATCATATGATATGATCGAATCCGGCAAGGAGGTGCTGTTTCGCCCGTTTGTGCTTTGCAGTCGTGTCCATCCAGTTGTGTTGTGATGAAGAAGTGCGTGATGTTTCTTCATTGTTGATGTATCGGAATCGTTCCGAGGTGTGCAATGCGTTGGCCATGTGTGTGCGTGCAAGTGCTGTGTGGCTGGTTCCCTTTTCCCTGCATTTGTCAGACTTGTTCTCCTGTTCAGGTCATAGTAGGATGTTCTTCTTCCACGTTAATTTCTGTCACAGTGCATGTGATTCTGTAAGCATGTGTGATTGAGGCCTAGAAAGGCCCTCTTCGTTGTAATTGAGTGGGGGAACAAACGAGTGATGCGTGCATTCACAGCTGATTTAGAGTCCGGTGTGTTAGTGTGCCACGCGCGCGCGTGGACAGAGCGAGAGAGAGAGAGAGAGAGAGAGAGAGAGAGAGAGAGAGAGAGAGAGAGAGAGAGAGAGAGAGCTTTGGCATTTAATTTTTGGGTGTCATCAATTTAATATTTTGGCTGTGAAGGGAGGGGCGGGCCTCGATGGCCTTGGTGGCATGTTGTGAGGACTGTTAGGAAGGCTTTGGATTGTAAAGGACTGCAGAGAATTTGTCAACTTAGGAACGACGAGTGGGGAGGAGACTCTAGAGAGTTCAGCGAAGGAGAGACTATAGAGAATACACAGGAGCCAGAAAAGTTGGGCGCAGTGTCTATAGACCATTCTCCCTCTCTCATTGATTGCTTCGAGTGTGAGTCGTATCTGTTGGAATTGAATATGACAGGATCTGTAGGATGCGACAGTTATGCCTGCTCAGTGATCTCCCTTGCAAATTGGAGATAGCAAGCACCCTGCAAATGTAATGTGAATCAGTGAGAATGACGAAGACCATAGCAGGTAAGCTTTCTGGCATATGCTGTGCAGTAAATCGCCAGTCTTATCATCCCTCAAGTTATCCTTTCCAACTGGGCTTTGCGTGGTGAGTTGAGTTTAGTGTTAACGATGTGATGGCAGTTCGTTGCAAGTACGGAGTCGTGTGATTTGATCCTGTGACCTGTCATCTCCCTCCCTGAACAAGGTCTTTATTCGTACTCATGGCCATGCTGTCACCTTGGAAATGCCAGAAATGAAAGTGGGATTCGTTCCTGGCCTTCTAAGTAGGACTCGCATTCCATGGGAGGGGTCTAAGGGCGATGACGGAAACAAGTGTTCATCTGTCCATCATCTGGAAGCGTGTAGTTCTTTGGTGGGGTCCGATTGGCGCTTCGGTATATAAGCAAGCTCAGCCAAACGCTTTTGAGCAGTACCTGAGCGCATGGGGGGGTCGAGAGTGGGGAGAGTGGGCAAGGACTCTGTCCCGGAAGCCTCGACTCACCCAAGGTGGGAATATTGAGGGACATTTGAGTGGTGATAGAGCACAGGGAGCCAATGTATTATTTATTGATGTAGTGCTGGCATGCGCTGACGCCTCGGAAAATGTCTTTCTATGTACCGGAGAGTGTGGAGTGCGCCAGAGAGGGGGGGGGGGGGGGGGGGGGGGGGGGGGGGGGGGGGGGGGGGGGGGGGGAGTGGGGGGTGGAGGAATTGGGAATTGGGGGAGACGAATGGCTACCGGGACCATCGAGTCGGGGGGAATAGTGCACACATGTTGTGGGAGGAGCAGCAACGCGGACGGCAAGCAGCCGTTGATGTTGGAAAGCGCTGTTGGAGGGTGGCGGGGGAGGAGGAATTTGGAATTGGGGGAGACGAATGGCTACCGAGACCATCGAGTCGGGGGGAAGAGTGCACACATGTTGTGGGAGGACCAGCAACGCAGACGGCAAGCAGCTGTTGATGTTGGAAAACGCTGTTGATGCCAGATGGCGTGCTGGTGGTTCGTGCTTTAGGCGGCTATTGAGAAGAGTGCAGTATGATAAAAGTCAGAAAAAGGTATAGTCGACTGTTGTCGTCACAAGTGTTATTGCCTGCATAGGAGAAGGTGGCATTGCAATAATTGCTCGTTCTTGGGAAATATTGCTCGAATACGTTGGCCGTTTGCTTATTTGCTCTTTTTCGAAGTTTTTCTCCTTTTTTTCTTTTTCCTTGTTTTCTTTTGTGGTCATGCCATAATGGTTATGACTCCCTTCTATTCTTGGGGGTGTCAGTCTTGTCCCTTTTATACCTACATATTCTGAAGATCTTGCATCTTGGAATCTTCGATCGGTTTGTGTCGACTACTCTCCACTGGGAAGAATTGATTGCCGTCTGAAAATTCAATTCCTTCGTACGAGACCTACACCCGGCGTTTGCCAGTGTTGCTGGGATGGTATCCTGCATTTCCTCAGTTGCTGTCGTTCGCTCTCGTCCTGTGTAATTGGTGTTTGTACCAACTGTTTCGCTGTAGGTGATTATTAGAGAGAACCAGTTTGGCCTTTTCCATAAAGATCTGCATATTATTATCCTTTTCCCCCCAATGATCCTGGCTATCTTGAAGTGCAACAACTCCCAGGAAGATGATGCCGTTATATTGCATAACTGAAATACAGAGAATGGAGGCAAAGACGAAGATGAACAGTGGCAAAGACCAATGTCAATCCGCCTTCATCGCGTCACCATCTCCAACCTCCAATCGCTCCCACATCTTCTTCTTAACCTTTGGCGCGTGGGAAAGTGGCGGGGCTCGGGGGCCGAAACGTCAGATTTATTAATGGCAGCCATCGTTGGGCACGGCCTCTGAATTTTAATGGCAGCAGTCGTTGCCGGGCCCTTCCTCCGAATTTTTAGGTGGTTTGGAAAATTGCCGCTTTTCCCTATTTTCCCAACACCAGCGAAGGTAGTAGTGGTTTGTACCACCACTCCCAAGTGCCCTGTCGGTGTAGATGTTTCTCGGACGAAGTCCGGCAGCAAAATCTACAGTGATCAGGCAAGGCTTACGTTCGGAGGGAAAAGGCCGGTGGGCCAAAACAGATCTATCGAAATTGGAGGGGGAAAAAAAAAGAGGAGAGAAACTGGGCTGCATTACACTATTTACAAAAGTATCCGGAGACCCTCCCTTGCTGGCTGGGCAGGATCTTAGACGGAAACTAAAAAAGAGAACAAAAAAGGATTTGGATGCAATGGCGGTCAGATATCCCGAGAGTCCTTGTGTGGGTTGCCCTCAGCCAGCGGCTTCCCAGGGAATGTGGGATTCGAAGAGAAACAAAAGGAGGGAAAAGAAAGAGAGAGATTTGGCTGTGATAGGGGGCGGACACAAGGCTCGATGCACTGCCTTCAAGACGCACAGATGGGGAAAAAAAAAAGAAATGTGTCTGCCCATATTCTAGCGGATGATTCAGTCTCGTTTTGCACATTTGGAGAGTAGTGCAGCGCGGTCCACATTCTTGCCCGAAAGTCGTTGTGTGGGTTGCCCTCAACCAGCGGCTTCCCAGAGAACACGGGATTCGAAGAGAAGGGGAAAAAAGAGAGAGAGATTTGGCTGTGATATCACTGAAAACATTTTAAAAACTAACAAAAAAGATGTGGCGGTAATAGTGGTCAGATACGTTCTGCAAAGTACTAGTGTGATCTCGTTTTAGTTTGTTCGTTTTTGTTGTTTTGTCCCTCGTCTTTTCTGTCCCAGCAAATGGCATGAGAAACAGCACTTCAGTTTCTTTCTTTTTTTTCTTCTTTCTTTTCTTTTCTTTGTCTTTCCTTTTTTTTTTTTTTTTAATACAGCACTGCAGTTTGGTTTCTTTCTTTTTTTTCTTCTTTCTTTTCTTTTCTTTGTCTTTCCTTTTTTTTTTTTTTTTAATACAGCACTGCAGTTTGAAGATAGGCAGTCGCCGGTGTATATGCTCTCTCCTTCAAAGAAAGAAACGACGTGCACTGTGGAATGCAGCAAATTTTGGTTTGACAATTTAGCTTCGGTTGGAGTGGTGGTTTAACAATAAAAAAAAAAAAATAATAATAGTAAAATGATAATGATAACAAAAATAATACTCATAACAATAGTAGTGGTCAAGGTTGCCGGCGTTCGGGAAGGGCCGAACGCCCGAACCCGAACGTCCGGGCCCCCCTGTAGACACGTTCGGCCGCTTGGGCCGAACGCGGACCAAAAAAAAAAAAAAAAAAAAAAGGTCGTCCCAAAAGTCTGAAAAAAATAAATGTTATGCAGAAAGATAAACTGAACATTTGCCTCCGAGTGACATCCAAATTCGTTACCAAAATACGGAAAACGAAAAATATTAATAGAAATAATAACTGATTTGAGGAGAGAATTAAAATCAGTGTGCGGGCGGGCACGTTTTAAACACCTTCATCTTTGGAGATTTTTCATTTTGTTTTGGCTTAGTCAAATTCCCTGAAAATTCATATATGTGTATCTCACATGATACACAACTCGTTAAAAAAATATAAGAAAATAATAAAATTGTTTAGGCCCCGAAACAAAGTGAAAACAAAAAGAGAAAAGAGAAAGAAAACAAAATAGTGAGTGGGTGAGCATGTTCTGACACCACCATCTTTGGTGATTTCTCTTTTTTTTTTGGCTAAGCAAAATGATCTCAAAATTTAGAGGCATGTACCTCACATCATAGAGAAGTCGTAAAAAACAATTCAAGAAAAAATAATAATTTCTAGGCTCGAAAGATTTTTTGGCGGGGTCCGAACCTCTTCAGGTTCGGAGGGGTTCGGCCCCTGAACGGGACCCCGAATGCCGGAACGTACGGAGGTTGGCCCAGGGGCCGCGGTACGTACGGGCTGGTAACCATGGTAGTAATAATAATAATTGGGATGAAAGAATTAACAAGAATCAATGTCCTAATCCTCTCCTTATGGCCACCCACTCAATTTTGGTTTGACATTTTAGATTTGGTTGGAGTGGTGGTTTAACAACAATAAATTCATGATAATAGTAAAATAATAATAATAATAATTATGATAACAAAAATAATACTCATAATAATAGTAGTAGTAATAATAATTGGGATGAAAGAATTAACCAGAATCAATGTCCTAATCCTCTCCTTACGGCCACCCACTCTACTCATTGGTTGAGCAGGTGGCTCGGGTGGAATAGCAGAGCGAAGCTTCGATGTCCCTCCTACTCTGGCCAGAATGTCTATCACTCCCCCAAAGTTTTCCTTGTAGAGGCCAACCCCAACTGGGGCCTTCCTGATGCAGCATCAACCAAGAAGATGAATATGCACACCACCATAGCCAGGTAAGCACCCCCCTCACTCTCCTCCTTTCTCACCATCTTCCTCCAACTAGTTCTTCCCCGAAGTTCTCCTTGGTCCCCTCCACCATAGCCAAGGTATAGGGCCAAGCCCGCCTTCTTCCTCCGTAGTGCTGCAATGCGGACCGCTTGCTCCACAACGTCTCGCCGAACTTAACACGCGACCAAATGAGAACGAGTTCTTCGCTCTCTCTCTCTCTTTCGACGTACGGGGCTGCTGCCTCTTCTAGTGGTGAAATCCAGGACGCTCGGCCTCCCCAAGTTACAGGTACTCCCTAATTTTGGAGGGAACGTCATTGCAGTTTGATATTCCCCTACGCAGTCCTCGGACTCAAACTATCCTATTGGCACCGCTGGACTCTTAAGCCTACCAGACTTCTAATATTCCTTCAGCCTCTGAAGGTACTAACGTTCCGACCTACCGGTGCTAGAGTGTTTTCCACCTTACATGGGCCTAGTGTACTTCTAGTTCCCGCTGTGCCCCCACATAAGCACGGCCAACAGATATGTGCCAGGTCCATAGGCCTCCCATCACACAAGTACCCTGCTGGGTCACACACACACACACACACACAAGTACCCCGCTGGGTCACACACACACACACACACACACACACACACACACACACACACACACACACACAAGCAATCATGCAGTCAGGCAAACACATGGAAACTCAGCACTCATGCACACACGTGCTCGACTCTTTGGATGGATGTGTTTTGTTGGTTTGTTTTGTTTATAGTACTTGATACAATGACCCAATTCTTTGCCGTCGTTTGCAGAGTGGGCTTTGTTGTCAGTGGAGTAGTGTCTCTGGGTGGCCAGGTGTTTTTTTCTCGGGTGGGAGTTTGGGGTTTGGGCCACAATATCTCTGGGAGGACGCTCAGAGAGTGTTTGCTGTGCGTGTCATTCCCCGCAGGCTGCTCTTTTGGAGCACATGGAAAAATGGGGTAGCTTCTAGGAAATTGCTGTGGGTGTTTTAAGCGATAGCGCTCCTGGTGTCAAGTGCAAGCCTGTGGAATTTGGCATGGTACTGACAGTGGCCTCACTGTTGCGCTAGGAAATTGTCCGATTCTGCAGGTTGCGGGGCAGGGGGAGATTCATGGCACTCTTGGAGTAGAATGTAGGTCCTGCGGTGTATTTTTTATTTGTGGTGGCGTTGTAGGCTGTTGCAGAGGGCCCTAAAACGTTTTTCGACCATTGGCATGTGTGGTTAGTGCTTTTTTGT